GTCCCGTGAGCACTTTGGACTAGGGCCGCCATCCCTGTCTGAGCCCCAGCTGCTCTTCAAGCTCCTGGTCTCCTCTGCCCAGGCTCGTGTCCAGCCCCGAGGTCCTCCCTGCCCCCAGGGCCCCGCTCCATGAAATAAATCACTCAACCGCCTACGGGAATTTAATAAGCCTGTTTGTGTGAGGTTCGGGATGTTTTTTTTTTTTTCTTCCCCCTTTTTGTCTGTGGACTTTTTGTTAACGTTTCATGGGAAGAGCAGTTTGGGAGGAAACTCTTTGCCCTGGTGATAACCGGATTCTCTTTAGAAAGCGCAGGGAAGAGAAGGGAGGCAGAGAGCTCTGGGGGCAGCTGAGGTGGGGATTGGGGAGCGTGAGAGAAGCAGCACAGAAATGGGGGCAATTTCCAGGAAGGCGGAAAGAGACTCAGAGTATAACATAAATAAAAGCGGGCCGGAGCGATAGGACAGGGGGGAAGGCGTTTGCTTTGCATGTGGCCAACCCAGATTCAATTCCCGGCATTCCATAGGGTCCCCTGAGCACTGCCAGGAGTGATCCTGAACACAGAGCCAGGAGTAACACCTGAGCATAGCTGGGTGGGAAGAAAGAAAAAGAAAGAAGGAAAGAAAGAAAGAAAGAAAGAAAGAAAGAAAGAAAGAAAGAAAGAAAGAGAAAGGCATTTCTTGGGCTGGAGCGATAGCACAGGGGATAGGGCGTTTGCCTTGCATGTGGACAACCCGGGTTCGATTCTCAGCATCCCAGATGGTCCCCTGAGCACCGCCAGGAGTAATTCCTGAGTGCAAAGCCAGGAGTAACCCCTGAGCATCGCCGGGTGTGACCCAAAAAGAAAAAAAAATAAAGGCATTTCCAATCATTAATCATTAGAATGGTTTTATTGGGGGGGCGTGGGGAGCTGGGAGGGGACATCGCTGACAGTGCTCAGGGTGGATGATGTGGTGTCAGGGATTAAACCCAGGCCCTCACACATTGCAGTTACAGGCTCTGTGCTCTTAACCACCTCTTAGACCCTTGGAGGGATGAGATTTTTTGAGAGGGGAGGTTTTGGGTCTCACTCAGCTGCTCAGGGCTCTCCTCAGGGCTCAGGAGAACCCTATGGGGTGCGGGGAATTAAAAACGGGTCAGTTGCATGCAAGGCAAATGCAGCTCTCCTCGCTGCATTATTGCTCTACCCCCCAGGACGTGATTTTTTTTTTGGGGAGGCTGCTCATGGCTGACTCCTAATTCAGTGCCCAGGGATCAGACCTGGCAAATGTCCTCCCCACTGTGCTATCTCTGGCCCTATGGGATGTTGGGGGTCAAACCCTGGTCAGCTGCTTGCAAGGCAGCTGTACTATCACTGCTGTACTATCACTCTGGTCCCAAGAACACGCGGTTGTCCACACTCACTCATGTCCACACACACACACACACACGCACACGGCCACAGGCACACGCTCACACTTAACCAGTCATACCTCCACTACCCTCAGCCAGCGCACCCAAGAGCAGGCAGGTGGACCCTCCGCTGTGGGGGTGTGGCCTCACAGACCCCCGCTCATGGGACCCCATCACTGCACAAACAGGAAGCCACGCAGGCGCCCAGATTCACGGTGGCGGACTTTACACACCGAGGGACGTGGGGGATGGAATTGGGGTGATTGCGGTCCCAATACTGGCCTGGGCCCTGCCCAGGCTATGGGAGCAACCCCAATAGGGACCCCCATAGCCCCAACACTCCCACTTATGCAGGAGGCCCCTGTGTTCAGTCATTGGCTCTAGAACCCCCTCCCAGAGACCTGAGGGGTCTCTCACCAACTCTGGGGTGCAGCAGCTGCATTTTACCAAAGGACAGCAGACCCGCGTGGAATGGCTATGGGGTCCCCGTGCCACCGTGTGCCTGGGGAGTGAAAATGGCACGACCCCCGTCTACACCGCGACGTATCCACACAAGCCAGACTCGGGGCGCACACACAGCTCCTTGACACCCAAACTGTTGGCCACGTCTAACGCACTGCACCGACACCACCCAACGCTGTCCATGCGGCGCGGCCCGCGCAGACCGAGGGTGGGAGAGAGGGGCTGCCCCGTTTCCGAGGAGACCCGCGCCCCCCGTCCCTACTCACCCTGCTGGAGGCTGCACCGCGGCGGCCCCGCCAGCCAGGACGCACCGGGACAGGTGGGAACTCGGAGGGGCGTGGCCTTGGTCGGGGCGTGGCCTGCTGGTCGGGGCGGGGCTGTAGGGGGCGGGACTCTTGGGAGGCGGGGCCTGACGCGAGAAGACGGTCTGGATAGGCGAGGACAGGTGGAAGGGCGGGGCCTACATTAGTTTAGGGGCGTGGCCAGAAAGGGCCTGGGAACGGGCGGGGATGCCTCCAGGTGCGGGTAGGGGGAGCCTCTTCCTTTCTTTCCTTGCAAAAGGTCCCTGTAGTGAGGGGCAAGGGATGGGGTCGTCGGTGAGGTGGGTTCCTGCTCCCGGGGTCCCCAGGTGGGGGTGTTGCTGGGTCGGGAGCCGTCCACCACGAAGTCATGTGGCTTGTGGACGCGTCCCCTCCTCACCCCAGCAGTTGCCCTGGCTGGGGGAGTCACCCTTCTCACAAACCAGGGGTCCCCTGACGGGGTGGGGGCGTGGGAGTGGGCTCTGTCCTCCTCTCTCCTCTACCTGGGCCACACTGAGGCTGGCAGTTCGCCTCCTCACTTCACCTGGGAACCCCGATTCCCTCACCCCGCTCCCCCAGGTGCCCAGGTGGACAATGGGGCTTCAGGACAGTCTCCCGTCTCCGCCGCCCCCACAAAAAGTGCCCAGGGGGAGGGGTACCCTGGCGCTGGGGCTGCTTTGGGAGTCAGGGAAAGGACAGGGCTGGCCAGGTGAGTCCAGGTGAGTCCAGGTGACCTGGACAGAGGCCCCAGAGGGCTGACCAGGACTTGTCAGAGGAGAGGAGTGAGGGCGGTGGGGAGGAGATTGTTAATGCGAGTAACTACTACATTTTGGGAAATAAACGTTTGCCCTCCAGGTTACTTTTTATTTGGTTGGGTTTGGTTTTCAGGTCATACCCAGCGGTTCTCAGGACTGACTCCTGGCTCTGTGCTCAGAGATCACTCCTCGCGGGGCTTTGGGGACCCTATGCGTTGCTGGGGATCAAATTCGGGTCAGCTGCGTCCAAGTCAAACGCCCTTCCTACTGTACCATCTCTCTTGGGCCTCATGCAGTTTTGTGGTTGTTGCTGCTGCTTTTCAGGGCTTACTCCTGGCTCTACACTCAGGAACCGCTCCTGGTGGTGCTCAAGGGACCAGATGGGATGTCGGGAAGAATCGAACCCGGGTCGACCACACACAAGGCCAACACCCTCCCAACAGTACTACTGGCTCTGACCCCAGGCTTGACATTTCAAAGCCACTAAAAATATATATATATATACCGAAAGAGTATTTCATGACCAAACCTCCAGGACAGATATTTGGGACCTGTTGTTCCAGGGACCAGCGTGGGCTGGGGTGCTTCTGGCCAGAAGCTTGTGGCAACAACCAGAGCCGAGCGTGTGAGCGACCCACACAGTTCGTAGGAGTCTGCGGATGCAGAGCCGCTTCCCACTGTGGCCGTCGGGGGAGGCCCCCACTGCGTGGAACAGCCCGGCGGCCCAGCCACCTCCCTGCGCAGTCCCGTGGAACATGCAGAGCCAAAGTCGTGACTATCAAAAGCCAAGTTTAATGACAAGATCAGCCCGGAGGCAGGAGAAACCGCCCCGCCGGGCAACCAGCATCTGCTTTGCGAGTGTCAGTCTCGTTTCCGGGCGACAGAGCAGGCCCCCTTCCACCCAAGTATAAAATGGCTTTGATTGAAGGTGCAGCAGGGGAGAGGAGTGCAGGGCCTGCTGCCCAGGGCGGGCTCCCCGCCCCCCCCCCAGTCCTTGCGGCCAGACCAGTAGGTCCAGCGAGTGCCCTCCCAGGACCCACGGCGCCCTCAAGAACCGGGTGGGCGCAGGCAGGAAGGGGCTGCTGTTTGTGAAATAAAGCGTTCCCCGCACAAGCGCAGCTGAGCGACTGACGCGGGCATCTGTGCTGGTAGTTCTTGGGACTGGCCAGGGCGACCGGCGCCAACCACAGGGCAGCGGGGACGGGGGCTTGGGTGGGCGGGCGGGCGGGCACCACCTCTTGGAGTGCGGGGAGCCGAGGAGCTGCCGCCCGGGGCCAGGACAGCCCAGCTGTCAGCGGCCTGGGGTTGGAGCCCCCAGGGGGACCGTGGGGGACACAGTGGGGCGGGACCTTGGCCAGTTCTACCATGGCACCTGTCTCGAGGTGCAACGTCCTGGCGGTGAGGTAGAAGACGACATGCCAGTTCCAGAATGTTCTTTCTCCCACGTGCGGGCTTCTCCTGGGGTCTCCCTAGAGGGTGCTCGTCTGCCTGGGTGGGGGGGCCAGTGGTGTGTGCCCTGGGCAGGAGGGGCGTGCAGACCCGTCCTAGGGGCAGCTGAAGGGGCCCCCCAAGGGGGGTGGTGCAGACTCTCACCCTAAGAGGTGGCGCCACCTCTGCCGCTTCTGTCAACGTGCAGATGGAGTGCGGGGACTGGGGTCCCGCAGGCCGGCTGGTGAAGAAGGGGTGGGGGGTGGGGGGCTGCACTACTCGGGCCCCGCAGGCCCCGCCCAGCCAAGGCGTCCAGGGCCACAACTGCAGTCCTGGTGGTGGCGTCCCTGGAAAGCATCGCTCGGGCCGGTGGGGACAGGGTGTTGCGGGGAGGGGCTCCCCTTCAAGGAAAGCGGCAGCCTTAAGCACCAATGTGGGCGTGCCTCCAGCTTCGTGCGCCCCTGTGAGGCCTGGGGGGGCGAGAATGTGGGGTACTCCCCCACGGGGGGACCTCGGCAAAGAGGCTACTGCAGCCATGCAAGCAGGTGCGAGGCTGCGCGGGAGTGGGCGTGGCTAGGCCGGACTGGGTGGGAGTGGCTAGGCAGGGCTGGGCGTGGCTAGGCGGGCTCGGAGGCGGGGCCAAGCGGACGGGGCGGGGCTGGCCGGTGGGCGGCGTCAGGCAGGGCAGGGCTGGCCGGAGGAGTCCGGAGCAGGAGGGGACTGGCCAGCAGGTGAGGACGGGCCGAGCGTCCATCAGAGCGAGCACCAAGTTGCGGGGCCCAGGCAGCTCCAGCGTTGAGCCCCTCATCTCTCGCAGGTGCGGGCGGGCCCTGCAGTCCGGGCCGCCCCCTTCCTAAGCCGAGGTGCCGGGCTGGTCTGTGGGTGTGGGGGGCTGATGGCCAGGGACACTGGCCACGGGCTGCTCAGGTTCCTGGGGCCGGCTTGGTTCTGAGGGCGGCCCGGCTGGCTCCTCTGCGGCAGGCTGCTGGGCCGCTGGCCCCTCTGAGTCTGTGGCTGGCTGGGAGCCCTCGGGGGGACCCGGCGCCCAGGTAGACTGAGGTAGGTCCTTCTGTGAAAGGTGAGAGTGGGAAGGTCCTGGGGTCCTGCTCCCCAAGAACGGGGCTCCAGGCTCCCCCGAGCCCCCCACCCCTATCACACAGGCACACATGAGGGCTGCAGCTTGTTCTCTGCTCTGAAACCTTCGGGGAAGGGGCTGCTTGGGGGCTCGGGTCCCCCGGGAGGACACAGCAGATGCCCAGCTCCCCACTCTCGGTACCACCGCGGGGGCCAGTGCTGCTCCTGGGTTCCCCTTCTGGGCCCTGCGACTTCCCTTCAGTCCCATCCTTGCCTGCACGGTTCAGGGGACCTCATGCACCCGGACCCCCAGTCCCTGCCACATGGACGCCCTTAGCCAGGAGGTCGCAGGTGTGCTCCCCGTACCTGGCGGACTCTGCCCGCCCCCACAGGGATCCCCAAGACTGGGGCTGTCTTCTCTGGGCAGGAAGCAGCCAGTCACCGCTGGCCCTCCAGTGGGGGTTCCGGGCCTCCCCCTGTCCAGAGAGGCACTCAATGAGCCTCTGCTGTCACGCCCCAGGCTGGGCGGCCCCCTGGTGGGAACGATGCGCCGTGACTAGACCGGGTGCCCCATTCCCCAGACACGCCCACCTCCCAGCACCGCTGGGGGAACCCGGGACCAGGCCGCAGGGCGGCCGGCAATGCCGCGAGAGCTTTACTCAACTTGAACTCTAGTTAGGGCCTGGGGGGGGTACTGTTGGCAGGCAGTCATAGCAAACCGGTATTCACCGCAAAGCCACCGCCCGTCCAGAACATCCTCAGCTCCCGGCGCCACAGCGCCAGGCCGCAGCTGGTGAGGAGCGTGCAAGGCACCAGGTAGAGAAGGGCGGGCTGGCCGCGCTGCATGAGGGCCAGGGCCATGAAGGTCACCAGGAGGCCGATGCCGTAGGCTGTGGGACAGACACCATGTCACCGGCTGTCCCCCACAGCACCCCCAGCGCTGGGGGCGCAGAGGCTGCTGAGGGAGGGGCAGGAAAGGGTGGGCAGGAGAGAGTGCCGGTGGGGGGGTGGGGCTCCCCAAGGATGATGGACTCGAAACTCCGTACCGCAGGGGTCAGTGGTGCTTGGGGGGAGAAGCCTGGTGGGCACCGGGGTCTGCCTGAAGTCGGAGCCCACAGACCGGAACAGGCTCTGCCCCCAGCATGCACAGAAGCGTGTGTGTGTGCAGGGTTGCACGTGAAGCACCTACTGGACTCATCAGTGTGTAAATGTGTGTAGCCAGCAGAGATTCAGGATGAGTATGTAAATGTCTGTGCATATCCAACGTGCGCAAAAAACATGCAAATGTATACGTGTACCCGGTGTGGGTGATTGTATGTGAATGCATGCATGTACCTGGCATGTATTCATGAACATGTGTATGTGTGTGTGCAGGAGTGTGGAAACACGAGTTCCCAGCGTGTGTGGATGCATGCCTGGGCGTGCGTGCACGGACCTGTACACAACTGGCACGTGTGTCCAGCTGTGCGGGGTCTCAGTGGCACACTCGCCCACCCTTTCACACGTCAGCCGCACCCATTCATCGTCCTACAGAATGAAAAGGGCAGTGGCCCTGTGCTGCATGCGGGAGGTGGGCGGCTGCAGGGGGGACCTAGGGCATGGGACACTGTCCAGAGTGATGACCCCACCCAGTTCTCCATGTTTCCTGCCTGCTGTCTGTGGGGCCCTGGCTGCCCAGACTGGGAGCTCCCCATACCGTCCAGTGTTTTATAATGATTTTTTGGGCTAATTTTTAGGCCACACCCAGCGGTGTTCAGGGCTGACTCCTGGCTCTGCACTCAGGGATCACTCCTGGTGGGGTTCGGGGGACCCTACATGGTGCTGGGGACAGAACCCAGGTTGGCCGTGATTAAGGACAGTACCCTCCCTATGCTCCAGCTCCCCGGGTCCAACGCACCTCACCCACTGTGTCCTGACCAGATTCTGGGGGGACAGGGGCAGCACAAGGGGTTTCCTCAAGAGCTAAGCGTGGGGTCATCACACAGCTTTGGTCTGGGGGGCACACCTGGCAGTGTTCAGGGTTTACTCAGTGATCGGTCCTAGAAGGTTCGGAGGACCCAGTAGGATCCAGGCGATCGAGCCCCAGCTCGGCTGTATGCAAAGCAGACGCCCTTCATGCTGTATTATCTCTCCGGCCCCCAGATTGGATATTTTTAAGGAGAATCTGGGCCCAAATACAAAAGTGACTTCTGGTGAGGCGAGTGCATCAGCAGCCTCATGGCGCCTCCAGGCTTCCAGATAACCCGAAATTGCTGCTGTGCCTTTGGCCAGGCCCCAAAAACTTGGGGAAAAGTTTACTAAGAAAATAAACAGCCAAAAGTTAGGTATGTGGGAGACACACCTACAAACCACCTCCAGCTCAGCTATATAATTGGAGGCATGGCCTTTCTGATTCCTGATCGAACTGCTTAACGGCCATGATCCCAGAGAATCAGAAACAAATCTTGAAACCCAACAGCTTTTGGCAGAAATGCATCCGGTCCCTGCAGTAGGTTACCGGTGCTGGGCCAACCCAGGTGGGAATAGGTTTCATGCATTGGCCTGTTCCCCCTGGCGGCCTGGTGGCCACCATCCTTCAGAGGCCACTGGACAGTCAGATTTGGATCCACAGTGACAATACACGTGGGGCCTCACGGGATGGGGGTGGAGCCGGCCCTTTCCTCCCCATCCCAATGAGACCCAGAGTCGCCACCCATGAACGGCCTTTCTGGTTCCTGATCAAGCTACTTAACAGCCATGATCCCAGAGACTCAGAAACAAATCTCGAAACCCAGCAGCTGCCGGGCCACCCTAGGGGGGAAAGGGTGCTGTCAATCCGCCTGCTCAACCTAGGTGGGTCAGTGGCCACCATCTTCCAGAGGTCATTGGACAGTCAGGTTTGGGCCGGCAGTGACGAGACACGTGGGGTCTCACAGGATGGGGGTGGAGCCGACCCTTTCCTTTTCATCCCAATGAAACCCTGAATTGCCGCCCACAAATGGCTCTTAATCAAGCTGCTTAACGGCCATGATCCCAGAGACTCAGGAACAAATCTCAGAACCCAGCAGGTTTTGGCAAGAAATCCCTCCAGATTTAATTGTTAAAATCTCAGAATTTCAAAATCACAGCCACTACTGCAGCCACGCAACATCATATGTTATTCATAACCAGCAATAGAAAACAAATTGTCTACTGCTGCCTTTTTGGCAGATCTGAGTGTTGGGGTAAAATCTCAAATAATAATGGTGGGTCTGGTGTCAAAATATCGAGTGTAATCAAAGTAGAGAGAGTAATTTGGAAATCATCTGCCCCACAGGTAGGGGGAGGGATGGAATTATACTGGGGTTTCTGGTGGTAGAGAATGGGCACTGGTGAAGGTACGGGTGTTTCATTGTATGACCGAGACTTAAACCCGAAAGCTTTGTAACTGCTCTCAGTGATTCAATAAATAAAATTATAAAAAATGGAAGAAGAAAAAAACTAAGATGGAGTTCATGCACAATTCAATCAGCCTAATCAGTGGCTGAATAAATAGCAGTACTCCTACATAAATAAAAAAAATAAGTGATCTCTGTGGAACTGGCTTTGGGTAGAGAGGGAGACAGGGAGAGCGCGCACCCAGGTACCATGCAGCCCAACCAGGCGTGTGGAGGGCGGCCCCGGCTCACCTACAGTGCAGGCCACGAAGTAGAGCCGGGAGGACTGAACCTGGATATCAAACCTGTGGCAGTAGGCGACCAGCAGCCCTGCGAGGGAGGATGAGGCAGAGTCAGTGCAGCAGGGTGAGGACGGAAGACACGGACCCCAGTGCATGGAAGGGACCCCAAATCTGTGGGAAGGACCCTACTTCCACAGGGAAGCTCTCCCCAGGGCGCTGAGGGTGGCAAGCTTCCCGCCCCACCAGCTGCCCCCTGCAACTGAGCTCCCCAAGGGTGACCATGGCCGCCAACCAGCCCCCCTCCGCTTGGCCGCAGCCTGCTCCATACCTGGGACGAGGATGTCCCCGAAGCCCAAGAGGGAGAAGGGCCGGTCACAGAGTGCCAGGGGGGAGGTGTTGAGTCGGGGCACCTTCAGGACCATGGGGAGCTAGGGAGAGCGAGGCTGAGGCCAGGTCTGCAGGCCCTACGCATCTGGCCCATGCCCAGCCTATGCCAGAATGCCAGGGTCATCTGTTCAAGCCCCGCCCACCTGGCCAACCCCGGCTCATCTCTGAGCCCCGCCCCAACCCTGCCCATTCGTGAGCCCCGCCCCTAGCCAAACCCCGCCCATTCACACAAGCCCCACCCATTCGGCCCCGCCCCTCCGCTCAAGCCCCGCCCCTCCACTCAACCCCACCTCACGCCTCACCTTCTCGTGCGTGGCGGAGTCCGCTGGCCCAGTGGCCACCTCCACCATGATGCTGTTCCCGCTCTAACCAACAGGGGGCAGAGGGTCGTGTCAGGGTGGGGGTGTGGGGCCGGGCTGAGGGCGGGGCGGGAAGGGCAGAGGGCGCCCACCTTGGTCAGGAAGGGCGTGATGAACACGAAGAAGACGTCGTAGAAGAACAGCACCAGCAGCAGCAGCGTGCAGGCCTGGGGGCAGCGGGAGGCCTCACTGCTGTGGCCGCTGGGGGCCCTGTGACCCCACCCCCAGGGCTCAGCCACCCTGCCGGGACAAGCAGAGGCCCCAGGAAAGCCAGACCAAGGACTGTGGGCAAGCAGGGAAGTTTCTGCCTTTTCCTGGTTTATTTGGATGGGGGGGGGGGGGGCGCCTGCTCTCCGCCCTCTGGGCAGCCTCCCCACCCACCTTATAGATTCTGCGGGGGGTCATCCCCTCCACCACACCTCAACAACCTAGAGGGGTGGGACCCCAGATCAGCGCGCCCCTGGGGCCGAGGACCCCCTCACCTTGAATGTGGGGAGGCGGATGGTCTTCAGCATGTACAGGCAGAAGGTGATGCCCAGCGCATCCTGCAGGATCCAGGCCCACCTAGGGGGTGGCACGGCAGACTGTGGGGGGCACTGGGGCCGGCAGGGGCGCCGACCTCCATGGCCAAGCACTCTCTGCCACCCTCCCCCCACCTTTCATGGAAATGGAAGCCCCTGGGGAACCTAGGGCCCCCATCCCCTGACGCAGGACATGTGCTGGGGTTACCCCCCAGTCTCTGGGGGGCAGAACCGGTGCCTCTGTGGGGTGCAGTTCTCCCCAGGGTCCACTTGGAACCACCCAGCAACACCTACGCTGACCATGCCAGGGGGGTGACAGACAGCGCTGACCCTGGGAACTTGAGGTTCCGGGCTGCCCAGTCCTAGTGGGTGCCAGGGGACAGACAGGCCAGGGAGCAGCGGCTGCACGGGGACCACCGGGTGGGTGCCCAGACCGTCACCCGGCGTGCACCCGGTGCTCTCCTCACACTCCTGCCCCCCTGTGGGCCGGGAGAAGCAGGTGGGCACGCAGCCGGTTCCGCTTTCAGCCGTCCAGCCAGTCTCTGGCGGGGACTTCGCCGTGAGAGTTCGCATTCGCTTTGCGTACAAAGGACTTCAAATATTTCCCTTCTCCTTCTGCCAGGGAAATCTGTCGCTGGGCGCGCCGCAGAGCCAAGAGCATTTAGCAGCCTGGGGGAGGTGCGGGCGCCGGAGAGCAGATGGAGAGTCACACCGGGGGTGTCGCGGGGACAGGCCCCACCTGCACCCTGGTGGGGGCGTGCAGGAGTTGCGTGGGCCCAGTGGGCAAGGCTGCGCTCTGCTGTCCCCTCCGGCCATCCCGAAGGACTTGGTGCCCCACCCCTCTGGGCTCTGGGTGTCCCCAACCAGCCCCAGCCGTCTTGGAGGCCTGGCATCCCTGAGAACCAGATCACTATCACAGTTCCCCGGCTCCAGACAAGCGCAGTGGCCCGTGTGGCCGGGGCAGCGGGTGGGGTGGCCGGCGGCGGCAGCTGGCCTCCCCCGCGGCCGTCACTTCCAGGAGGCTGAAAGGAGGGTTTTCATGGGCCAGGCGCTGGGCCAGCTGCGGGGGCGCCCAGCGCCTCACGAGGTCAAGGCTGGCGAGGGGGCACGCGGGGACAGCGGGGCGGGCACTCACTGGTCCTCGTTCCGGAAGACGGCCCACAGCACGCTCACGGCCACACAGAGCACGGCCAGCAGCAGCAGCCGCACCTGCGGGCGCTTATGGAAGTAGGGCAGCCCGTTGCTGGGGACCCTGGGGGAGGAGGGGGCTTAGCACCCAGTGGCGCCAGCAGGCACCCCCACCCACCGCCACACGGCCCTGGGACTGGGAGGTGGGAAGGGGGGAGTACGGCATCGCCCAGCCCCTTACCCCTGACTACACCCTGAAAAGCCTCCGCCCCCCAATCCAGGCTTTCTAAATAGCCATCTGGCCAGTGCCAGTCCCTCAACAGCGGGACCTCCAGGCCTGGAGCACCAGCCCTCCCCCCCATCCCCGGACCCCCAAGTCCACTCTGCTCCGGGTGCCTTGAGCCCAGCTGTCCCCGGGAGGGAAGGAGTACTCTTGGGGAGTAGGGGCCCAAGGACAGCCCCCCCCCCCCCGACCCCTGGCGCTCACCGGCACTTGCAGAAGGGCAGCCGCTGGACAAGGGGCGCCAGGCAGCTGTAGAGACCAGTGGAGGAAGCCAGGCAGAAGGTGCCGATGATGACGTAGACTGTGGGGCAGAGAGTGAGTGGGACTCGGTTCCCCCAGGGCGGAAGGCAGAGCCAAGACTGTTTGCCCAGGGCAGGGGCTTGCTGGGGCGGGGGCGCGTGCCAAGTGCCCCAGGGGCGGGGCTTGTTTCTATGGGCGGGACCGGCCTCCTAGGGGCGGGGCTTGTGGCATGGGGTGGGGCCTGTGTCCCCAGGGCGGGGCTAGTTGGAAACGGGGCAGGGCTTATGGGGTGGGGCGGGGCTGCACGCACCCAGTTGGTCGTAGAAGTAGTACAGCAGCACCAGCATGCCACAGCACATGACCACGAACACACAGATCATGACAGGCGTCACGTCCACCGTCTCGTCCTCCTGCTTCTCTGGCCCTTCATCCCGCTTATGCTTCAAGTACCGCCTTTGGGGTTGGGGCAACAGGGCCAGGGGATGGGATGAGAGGCGGCACTGGAGGCCACGGCGGTGCCCAGGCACCGGTCACTGTGTCACCCGCCCACCTACTCGCTTGGGTGACTCACTTCCTCACGTCGCGGCTCCCTGCCCAGTAGCCACCAAGGGCTACAGTGCCCACGGCCATGACGAAGATGATGATCATGTTGTAGTCCAGCATGGGCTCACTGGGCGCGTAGAGTGCCGCCCGCACCGCTGGCCCAAAGCTCTGCCGTGGGAAGGGTAGGATGGGGTGCAAGGTCAGGCCTCCCAAGGCCCCTGGGGTACCAGGCCCAGGCTTCCCCCAAGAGCAGGGCACTGATGGGGCAGGCTAGCAGTGTGCAGGAAGAGCGTACCCTAAACCCAGTTCGCAGTGACCATGGGGGCAGCCCTATAGGGAGGGAGGGCGGGAGCAAGCAGGGTTGGAGTGGACACAGCAGTTCCCAGGGCTCCCCGGAATTGAGGGTGGACACGAGACTCTGCCCAGTCAGGCTGAGGAGCCTGTGCCTCCCATGCAGGCAGCTGGGTGCCCAGGGCTGGGCAAGGCCAGGTCCATTAGCCGATTCCATGGGGCTAATCCCAGACCTTCCGGTCTGTTCCTGCCCACTTCCAGCTGCTGGGCGGGCCCCACCTTGAAAATGTCCAGTTTGTCCTTGTGGCTAAGCAGGGCCACTGGGATGCCAATCTCGTCGTACTGGGACTTGTTCCCTCCGGGCGGAACCTGCGCAGGGGCACAGAGATAAGACACCACCCGCAGGGAGTCGTGGGGGTGGGGGTGGGGGTGGGGGTGGCAGGGGGCCTCGGTGAGCCGCAGGGAGGGGATCCCCCTCATGAGGAGTGGGGTTGGGAGGCAGGCCTGCAGCCTGGCTCAGCCAGACTGTCACCGACCTGGAAGGGGAGGGCGCAAAGGGAACTTGATGCTACAGGGGTGCTGGGTCTCAGGCTGAGGTCCAGGCTCAGACAATCCCAGTGCCCCGTCCTCCCAGGAGGGGCGTGTCCCGGACGGGGCGGTGTCATGTGGGGCGTGTCCCGGAAGGGCAGACCTCATTGGGCGTGTGCTGGAGGGGGCGGGCCCTATGGTGGGCGTGTCCCGGAAGGGGCGGGCCCGAGGGCGGGGCATACCAGCGCCTCTTTGCTGACGATGAGCAGCCCCCGCGCCCCGCTGCCCTGAGCCAGCCGCACTTTCTCGTAGAAGGTGCAGTTGCCGCGCGCCACCAGCGGGATCTGGTTGCTGAAGCCTTGTGAAGGGAGGTCGGCCGCGGAGCAGAGCAGGGAGGACGACCAGTCCTTGAGCGGCAGGAAAGACTGCGAGGAGGGCAGGCGGGTCACCAGCGTGCTGCGGGCCACACTGAGCCCACGGGTGGAGGGGGGGAGGGGGTGTCTCCAAGCCAGAGCCCACAGGCGCCCCGTCCCTGGATCCAGATCCCCGGGGCTGAACGATGTGGAGCGCAGGGCCGGGCCCTCGCACGCGCGGACGTCGTGCGTTACTTTACCTGCACACACGCACGTGAGCACCCGCGTGTGTCACGCACGTTCCCCACGCAAACGCTGCGCATCCGCACACCCGTGCACACTCGTAATTCACTCGCTTGTGAGCCAGGCTCGCGCGTGTGGGCACGCTCCCAGGACCACTGACAGGCCCCCCCCCCATAGGGGAACCCCAGGGGCGTCCAAAGAGTCAGGGGGCAGGCGCGGTGGGCGCGGGGCTGCCCCTGGTCCTGGTCCCAAGCGCCGAGTCCGGGGCACTCCACCAGCCCCGCCCCCACCCCCTGTACTCACGGCTTTGGCTAGATCCAGGGGTAGGTGTGCCCACTGCGGGTTGTAGAGCACACAGTAGTCCTTGCCCTTGGGGCCGCCGTGCTCGGAGACCACGTGCACCATGCCGTACTCGGCCATCACCTGCCAGAGGAGGGGGACTCAGGGCCCGCGGGGCACAGACCTGAGGAAGGGGGGGCCTCTGCGCACCCCACCCTCCCTGCCTGGGCTCAGGCGCACTCCTGGGGAGTCCGGGACATTAACTGTGGCGGGAACCTCGGGGCGACATGGGCAGCCTGGTCAGGGGCGTTCCTGACGCCCTGGAGGTTTACCCGGGGAAGGGGGGTGGGGGAGATGTATAAAGCCCAGGTCCCATGACCAGTCCCAACAGGACGCTGGCCAGGGGGGCTCCACAGCCTCCCAGGGACAATAAAGTGGCCAGGTCAGAAGTTGGCTCTGTTGGGGGGGGGCAAGGGGCAGACCCTGCACCCCGAAGCCAGAGATGTTGGACCCGCAGGGTGGGATGCCCCATAGGCGTCCACCCAGCTCTGCCTTCCAGCACCTCTGTCAATTTCTGGCAACACAGAAACAATAACATAGTCTGCTGGGATGGGCGCTGGACCCAGCTGCAAACCAGAGGGGCAGGCCGGAACCCCAAACCTCCTGGGCCCCTGTGTGCCAGCTGCTTGACCAGGGGGAGCCCGCAGCCCCCTGCAGTGAGAACCCTAGTGTAACCTGCTCTCCCCTGCCGGATCACCCCATCTGCCCTGGGGCTGTGCCCCCACCCCACCCCCAGCCATACTCCAGCCCAGGCCCCTCAGCCCCTGAGAACCGCCTCTGTCCCTAGGAGCTGTGCCCAGGGTCAAGCTTGCTGAGTGAAGGCGCTGCCTGGGCCACAGGTGGGGGGGGCACAGGACTGTGCACTGGGCACAGCATGGGGCTCCCAGGCGCTGGTGGGAACAGGCGGGGCCACCCTCGCAGGCTGAGAATCTCATAGGACCAAAAGGGGCCAGGCTGGGAACAACAGCGGGCCCCCACCACTGAAACACCCCCCCCAGTACCCCAGAGTTGGACGGCCACACTGGTGCCGGGGTGACTCTGTGGCTGTGAGTGAGGGGACACCCACCAGCCAGACTGCGTGGGTGTAGGGTGAGGCCATGCTTCCTTAGAAACGGGGTACGGGACACAGTACTAGACAAAGGAGCTGGCAAGGGGAGCTATCTGAGGCCCATGGGGTCCTGGGGGCCTTCCCCTGCTGCCTGTGCCCCAGCCCACCCGGGCCCCCTGACCCGAAGCAGGACCGGGGAGCCCCCCACTTCCAGGCTCTGCTCCCACAGAGACCCATCAGCCTGGCCTGAGCTGCCAGTGGGTGCTCAGAGACCTGAGGACACCCTCTCTCTTTTCAGGGAGTGTGTGTGTCCCCCATGCCCGTCCACCCCCCACTGCAGACGGCCACTGCCTGGCCCCGCAAATAAGTTTTTCCAGTCACTCAGGACCCCATCAAGAACCCGCAAGTCTGCAGGCTGGAGTGCGGCTCAAGCAAAAAGCACGTGATCGGGAGGGGGAGAAGTCAGCTGACCGAAGGACCGGCACCCCAGGAATCCACACCTCGGGCAAGAGGAAGTCCGGGTGCAGGGCGTGGGGCGCACAGGGCAAAAGTTAGGCGAGATAGCAGCAGGGAGCCGCCTTTGGGGGCGCCACTGGGGAAGGAGGATAGCGGAGAGGGGGCGGGGCCGGGGAAGGGCGTGGCAGTAAGTGCCACCACCTGGGACAGTTTTCACTTGTTTTGTTCTTGGGGCCACACCTGGCAGGCGCTCAGCTCAGGGCTGACTCCGGGCTCCGCGCTCAGGGACCCATTCTGGCAGGGCTCAGGGGAGCCCATGGGGTGCGGGGGATGGAGCCCCCCGTCTCGGTGTCGCCCCAGACATGGGGCTGTTTGCTCTCTTCCGGGGCTGCAGGGGCTCCCCACGTCGAGAGGGCGCCCCCAAGTGGGGGAGTGGTCCAGCTCGCCCCTGTACCCCAACCAGGGAGGCCACCCGCACCCCATCTTCTGGGAACAGTCCTCAGGGGAAGTCACTCGGTACAGGAGGAACTGCTACAGTGAGTGACAGTACCCCCAGGAGATCACCACGTCCCACAACTCCCACCAAAAAACAAGCACCCACCCACAAGCCCTTGCTAAGCCCTACAAGCACCCCTGTCGGCTGGTGCCACCACCTCTGAGAAGCCCTCCAGGGCTGCCCTAGTTGCTCCCGTGTTCCCGTGAGCCTGCTTCACTTCGCCCATCGGACTTGACCCTTGTTCCAAGTGTCCAAAGTCCCTATGACCCAAGCTGTGGACAGGGGAGGTGGGGAGGCAGTGGAGGACAGAGAAAGAAGCAACACTAAACTGAGGGGGTGAGGATGGGAGGGAAGGTGCAGATTTGGGGGAAATGAGGATCTAATCTAATCTAATTCTCCCCCCACCCCCCAACCCGGCCCCCCAGGATGTATCTTCCACAGAACCAGAGCTGGGAAGAGGGGAGCCTGGGGACACACACACACACACACACACACACACACACACACACACACAAAAGATCTGACCCACTTGGAAAGATGTGGCTCCCGCTGTGATGACGTGAACAGACTTAGGACTTGGGGGGCGGGGAGTGAGGTGGGCAAAAAGGGGGCCCCCTGCGAGCGAGCAGCGAGCAGCCAGCCCAGACCAGTTTAGCAGCCGCATTTGCCAGGCTGTTGGAGAAAAGGCGGGCGGTGGGGGTGGGGCTGCCCCGTCCTGCGCTTGGAGGGAGAACTTGGAAATGACAGCGATGACAGAGGCGCCCCGGGGGTCACACACACACGCCCCCCACCCCGCCCCCGCCACGTTATCCCTTCTCCAGGAGAAAGACAAACGCGGGGAGTGGGGCTGGGGGGGGTGGGGGGGAGGGTCCCGGCGCCCAAGGTCACACTGCAAAAGTGGGGACGCGATGGGGGGGCGGGGGTCCTCGCCGCGGGCCGGGCCGCTGCGGCTCTGGGCACCCGAGCGAGCATCACGCACGCCGCGGGGCGCGCACCCAGGGCGCGCCAGGGGGGAAACTGAGGCTCGGGGAAAGAGGCAGATCCTAGATCTAGACTTGGTGGTGGGGAGGGGGGGGCAGTGGAGGTCCCAGGCAAGTGAAATTGACCCCCAGCCCCGGATAAAGACGGGCCGGAGCGATAGCACAGGGGGGAGGGCGTTTGCCTTGCACGCGGCTCCACCCGGGTTCGATTCCCAGCATCCCATATGGTCCCCTGAGCACCGCCGGGCGTAATTCCGGAGTGCAGAGCCAGGAGTAACCCCTGTGCATCGCCGGGTGTGACCCAAAAAGCCAAAAAATAAAAAGAAAGGCCCCGAGAGAGGAGCGCGGGGAAGGTGGGAAGCAGCAAAGGAGAGTGGCGGCGGGGGGGGGGGGGCGGGGGACCCCGAAACTTCTAGCCAGGACGGAAGCGCCCGCCGCGGCGGCTGGGAAGGGTTTAGGGGGGCGGTGACGGGGGTCGGGCCAGTCCCCGGCCCGCCAAGGTCACGGCTCGGACCCCGGCCCGGGGGTTGGGGGACAAAGCGGGGCGCGGGTCCCGGAAGGGGACCCCGCACACCCGACTTGGGAGCGGCCCGGGCGGGCGTGGCCGAGGCCCGGCCGCGGGAGGACTCGGGGTCCCGGCGGCCGCGGGGCGCAGCCCTCACCTGGGGCGTCAGCAGGAGGAAGGCGGCCGCGAGCCGCGACAGCGTCGCCGCCGCCGCCGCCGCTGTCATCTCGCCGGTGGCCCGCCGCGGCCGTCAGCCGAAGGTTTCCCAGCAACGCCCCGGCGCGCGGCTCTGCGCAGGCGCGGCGGCGCGGGTCAAAGATCGCGCCAGGGCGCCTGCGCCGGCGTCCGCGCGCCTGCGCACAGCGACGCGGCGCCATGGCGGTGAGCGGCGGGCGTGCGGCGGCGGCGGCGGCGGCGGCGGCGGCGCGGCCCGAGCATCCCCCCACCCCCCCCCCAATCCCGCCGCCGCGCGCTCCCCCTGACTCGCTCTCGCGTCCCCTCCGCAGGATAAAGAGAAGAAGAAGAAGGAGAGTATCTTGGACCTGTCCAAGTACATCGACAAGACCATCCGGGTGAAGTTCCAGGGGGGCCGCGAAGGTGAGGCACCCCCCCCCGGAGGGCGCTCGGGGTGGGACCCCCGGGGGTTCCCGCCGTCTGCAGGCCCCCGAAGCCCCGCTTTCCCGCGGCGTGCAGGGAAGCCCCGTCACTCCCCAGTCCCCGGTGGCTGCAGCGCCCGGATTCATTTTGGAGCGCGCGCCTGGCTCCGCGGCCCCCTAGGGCACGAGCCGGAGCGTTTTGCGGGAGTTTTTTTTAATTTTTTTTTTTTTTGCTGAGTGTTTCTCTGCAAAAGCCCGACTCCCCTCCTCCCCCCCCCCCCCAGCAGCCTCGCGCCATCCCCGCTGCAGCGCGCCCCCGAGGGACCCCTCGAAGCGCACTTGCTTTTCCTGGCGCGTGGCACCGCGGGGACCAGGAGGGGCGAGAACGCGCAGGTTTTTTTTTTGGGCGGGGGGTTACACCTGGCGGTGCTCAGGGGACCCTATGGGATGCTGGGGATCGAACCCGGGTCAGCCGCGTGCAAGGCAAACGCCCTCCCCGCTGTGCTATTGCTCCAGCCCCGAGAATGCGCGTTTAAGTCCCTCTTGAGTAACCACCGATTTCCCCCGCGCCTGGAGGACTCAGCATCCCATATGGTCCCCTGAGCACCACCAGGGGTAATTCCTGAGTGCAGAGGGGGTGAGGATGGGAGGGGAGATGCAGATTTGGCGGTTCCCAGATTGGCCTCCCGAGGCTCGCTCCCCCGTGCAGCTGCGCCCCGTGCCAGCAGGGCGGAGTGGCCGGGCGCCCTCTTCGCGCCATCAGCACCTGCCCAGTTGGCCGCTGGAAGGTGGGGAAGGGGACGGGTCATGGGGGCAGCTTCCTGGCCTGCCACGCGTTAGCGGTGACCCTTTGGGGGTCCCAGGTTTCAGCTCTCCTTTCCCTGCACCCTCCTGTGCTTCTGGGTTCTCATTCATTGAGGGACCAGAGTCCTAGGACAAGGGAGGGCGCTTGCTCTGCATGCGGCCAAGCCCGGTTTGATCTCTGGCATCCCATAGGGTCCCCCCAAGTGCCGCCAGCAGGAGTGATTCCTGAGTGCCTGAGTGAGCTCCTGAGTGACCAAAAAAATAAATCACTTCTGGGCTGGAGCGATAGCGCAGCGGGTAGGGTGTTTGCCCTGCACACAGCTGACTCAGGTTCGATTCCCAGCATCCCATATGGTCCCCTGAGCACGGCCAGGAGTAATTTCTGAGTGCAGGAGCCAGGAGGAACTCCTGAGCATCGCTGGGTGTGGCCCAAAAAGAAAAAAAAATCACTTCTCATTGATCACAGGGGGAATGGCTCCCCCTACCTGGAGATGAGAAGCATGTGGAGGTGACTCCACTTCATTGATCTTCCATTTCCCAGAAGAACCCCCCAGTTCTTCCCAAGATTTGGAGGGTCAAGTAGCGTCCCAGCGGGGGGAAATACTACTTGTTGGGAGTGGGAAATGGAGGGGGGGAGGCTGAGAGATCCCAAGGGGCTTGGACTGAGCTCATAGTTCACGTTGATTGCCTGCGGAAGCACTGGGTTCGAGACCCGGCCTCTCTCTCTCACACACGCACATATATAGATACATACATTATCATATACATACACCACACATGGAGCCCCAGCCTCTCACACACACACCTACATCTCTCTCTCTCTCTCTCTCACACACACACACACACACACACAGAGCACATGGCTGGGAGTGACCCCTGGGCACAGGACTGGGGGTTGATCCTAAGCGCCCCCAAGCATGACTTCAAAAACCCAACAGAAAAGATCTTACACATGACCCCATAAATCACTCTTTGTGAGGGGCCAAAGGGGTGGCTCCAAGGCTGGTGCAGCCTCTGCGTGTGGGAGCCCCAGGTCCCGTCCCTGGCACCATGTGGCCCCAAAGGCCCCAGAAGTGAAGAGCCCCACCCCATGTTCGCAGAGCCCAGGAGGTGACAGGCGTGGCTTTGCCTGCGCTCAGTGGCATTTGTGGCCTGTTCCCGCGTGCTCTGAGCCCTGGATGGATTCTCTGGCACTGGGTGCCCCGTACACTTTATTTTAGCATCGGGCAGGGGATTGAGCCAAACCTGTGCTCAGGGGCCACTCGCGGCTCGGGGGAGCAGGGGACACTGTGTTGGGTGTGAAAGCGGGGTCGGTTGCAATGCAAGGCGGCACATACCGCAGCCCGGCTGGCTGAGACCAGGGCCAGCAACCAAAGTCTGAGGACTGCCCGTCTCTGCCCCATGCAGCTCCCTTTTCCCAGAGCCGGCAGCTGTCGTCAGACCCCCGACTTCATGGGGCTGTGGGGGAAAGGCGCCCCACAAGCTCGCAGCTTTGGGGGTGTCGGCTCAGACTCTCTTGTCCCATTTCCTTGTTTTTTAATCTTTTGGGGATGGGTGGTGGTCACGCCTGGTGGTGCTCCAGGCTGACTCCTGGCTTGGGGGGCCTTGTGGGATGCCGGGGATCAAACCTGGGTTGGCTGCATGCAAGGCAAGCGCCCTCCCTGCTGTCCCATTGCTCCGACCCCTCCTTTCCGGCCTTTGGTCAGTTCCTGGAGATGAGACCCCCCCTGACCCCAGATGGGCTGAAAGGCGGCCAGCTTGGGGACCTCACTCACAGGGGCCCAGGCCCCTTTCTCTCAGGGGCAGGTCTGGTTTTGCTTCTTAGAATCCTGCCGCACCCTCCGGCCCCCCCGCTTGGCCACAGTGCTGGGGTTCCCCTGGATGGGGCCGGGATGGTGGCTCCCCCACCTTCCCGCTGGCTTGGGAGATGTCAGTGAGCAGGCTGTGTGCCAATAAAACTTTATTCACAAACTCAGGAGTCAGGCTGCATTGGGACTGTCTGGCCTGGTAATGATCTTGTGGAGCTCAGAGCTTCTCGCAAGGGGGGGAGGCCTGCGAGGTGGGGGGTTTCCAGGATCCCCCAAGAGACCACCCCGAGGGCACCAGCTGTGCAGGGTGCCCAGCCAGAAGACCAGCCGGGGCCCAGACTTCGCCTGTCCTAGCACTGCAGGGTCCCCCGAGCACTGAGCCGGGAGTAGCCCCTGAACACTGCCGGCTGTGCCCCCCCACACACCCAAATCCAGGCAGCGACAGTTGGTGACCCAGTCCGTTGCTCAGGCCTCCCGTGCCACCCGTGTCTCCCGCCCCCAGAGAGGCTGAACCCCCACATCTGTGCCGGGCTGCGTGGTGGGGGCCCCTCACACCGCCCCCTTCTCTGCCTTTCTCTCCTCGGTGCTTCCTCCAAGCCAGTGGAATCCTGAAGGGCTTTGACCCGCTCCTCAACCTCGTGTTGGACGGCACCATCGAGTACATGAGAGGTACGGGGGGGGGGGGGGGGTGCACCCAGTCCGGGTGAGAGAAAAGTGCCTGCAGGCCGGGGAGAGGGGGCAGAGGCTGGGGCACGGGACCAGGTGTAGCCCTGGTGGCCCCCAGAACTGTGGGAGAGACACCCCCACACACACACACACATACACACACACCGGGGGTAGGGGGTGGCGCTCTATGCTTTGGTCCAGGTCTGCAGCCCGGGAGGTGGCGAGCCCAGCCTGGTCCTGGGGAAAGTGCTCAGCCCGTGGCTTCTCCAGGGGATCCCCAGGGTGGGCTTCCTGATGGGGTCTGCGCCTGGCTCCCCCACACCCAGCCCTCCTTACTCCACAGCCCCCGGGATTGGGGGGGTCGGTGGGCCTTTATCTGTTGGCACCTGCCAAGGCCTCTGGGCCCCCAGTTAGCTCCCAGTGTCCCCTGGGCCCCGCGCTCCCGGTGGAATGAGGACAGGCTCTCAGAACTGCAGGGTGGGGGCCGGAGCTGGGGTGGCGGGGGAGGGGGGGCCTGCCGTGTCCCCAGCGCCCCATCACCCCCGCAGACCCCGATGACCAGTACAAGCTGACAGAGGACACACGGCAGCTGGGGCTGGTGGTGTGCCGCGGCACGTCGGTGGTGCTCATCTGCCCGCAGGACGGCATGGAGGCCATCCCCAACCCGTTCATCCAGCAGCAGGACGCCTAGCCCGGACCCGCGCCCCCCAACCCACCCCGCATACCTCTCGCATCAGTTTTCTTAATAAAAATCACAAACCTCGCTGCCCGCGGTGTGTGTCCCCTGTGGTGGGGGGGCGGCGCATGAGATGGCTCTCGGGGCCCCAGCCTAGACGGACCTGTCACCTCGGGGGGGGGGGGGGGGGGGAGGCTTGCCTGCAGGCTCCCGAAACCCTGAGTCCAGAGAAGCACCCCCCTACGCACCCCATCCCCAAAACTCCACCCCCGCCCCCCCCCCCCCGCACACACACAGCCACATAGCTGTCTGTGCTGTCCGTCCTCCGAGTGTCATTGCTGCAGGCAGGGCAGGAGACCAGAGTGGAAGTGGCAGGAGCCAAGTTGGCTGGGGGGTGTTGGTCAGAAAGGGACAAACCAGCGGCATCCTGGGCATCTGTGCGGGTCCCCTGCTGCTGGGGATTAGGGATTAGTCGGAGCTGGTGGCCCAGCCCCCTCCCCGGCCATCTGGCCTGGCCCACCCTTACAGCTTCCCTCAGCTGCCGCATCTAAAGCCCATGTCCCCCCGAGGGCGGGGGTCTGGGACAGCCCCTGGGAAGGGCGGCCAGAGGGGACAGTAGTGCCCTGTTGCCTGGAGCCCAAGCTGGGCATGGGGGGTGGCGGGGAAGGGGGCCAGCAAGGCCTGAGCTCCCAGGCCACCCAAGCCCTGAATTGAATCCCCAGTCTTTTTTTCTTTTTTTTCTTTTTGGGTCACACCCGGCGATGCTCAGTGGTTACTCCTGGCTCTGGACTCAGGAATTACTCCTGGAGGTGCTCGGGGGACCCAATGGGATGCTGGGGATCGAACCCGGGTCAGCTGTGTACAAGGCAAACACTCTCCCCGCTGTAGTAGCACTCGGGCCCCTGGGTGGAGACCTTTTCTCTGCCAAAGGCCATCTCGGTGACGTCACTGGGGGCCAGAGGGTCCCAGCTGCCAAGACAGGCCTCACCCCAGTCTGTGCCAACACGCTCCGGGCCGACCCGGGATTTCCCGTGCTTCCCACAGCCTGCAGACTCAACTTTGATCACCTTCTCTTGGGGGGTCGTGGCCCTCAGTTTGAGGATATTGGAGCCACAGGGGTAGTGCAGACGGCAGGGCGACAGCCTTGAACACAGTCAACCCGGGCGCGATCCCGGCAACCCATACAGTCCACTGAGCACCTCCAGGAGTGATCCCTGAGCACAGAGTCAGGAGCACCGTCAGGTATGCCCCTCCCACCCCCAACACCCATGCAGCTGGGTGCTAGATAAAGGCGGGGGTCCCTCTGGACTTTGTACCACGCGGTGGGATCTGTGTCACGGGGTCCCTGTCTGAGGTTAAGGCCCCTCTAGGCCCCCCAACAACTCCGGAAAGGGATTGGGAGGTGCGATCCCCAGAATCACATTTGCCGCTGCCTCAGGTGGCAAATTCCATAGAGGAACTTCCATTTAACTACTGAGTCTCAGGTTGGGATTCATTTCTCTGGCAACTTTCTTGTTTTTGATTTGGGCCATGACTGGCAGTGCTCGGGGCTGACTCCCGGATCAGTGCTCAGAGATGACTCCTGGATCAGTGCTCAGGGAACTCCATGGGGTGCCAGGGATCAAACCTGAGTCCACCTCGGGCAAGACCAGCACCCTCCCCGCTGTGCGACAGCTCCCGCCCTTGTCTGACCTTTCCCAAGGGTTTCCTGGGCGGGGAAATCCCTCCAACAGACGTTCGATATACTCAGGTGCACTGTGACCCAACCTGAGGTTGATCCCCAGCACCTCATATGATCCCTCAAACCCTGCCAGGAGTGATCCTCGAGCACAGGGCCAGGAGTAGCCCCTGAGCACCACTGGGTGTGGCCCACCCCCCAAAAAAATGATTTGGGGGTCTCCATGTGAAAGTGAGCAGAGATTTTTGCGTCTGGGAGGCTCAAATTTGGTCCCCAACACCTCAGGGTCCCCTGGGCACCGCGCCCCCAGATGTGGCCCAAGGCTAAGAAAAGAAGAAAAAAAAAAAAGTTCAGGCTTTCCTCCGAGGCACCCGAGAAAGATCTGGAAGGGCTCCACGCTGACCTGCAGTGAGCGACATTAATCCCAGAGCCCGTTTTCTCTCAACGTTTGAATATTTTACAAGAGGGAATTCAATATTTCACATTTTACATGTCAGCCGATATATTGAAATTTTAATATTTCACAAGGTAGAACGGAGAGCCGGGGACACAGAAATGTAGGACAAGGAGGCAGATGGCCACGAGGGAAAAGGAGAACGGGTGGGGATCAGCCGCCCGGCCAGGGCACCCGCTCGGTCCCCACCCTCTGCCCAGGGATTCCTGGGGGTGCACGCCAGCCGCCCCCGCGCCCCACCAGGCACATCGCCCCCAGAGGCTGCCCACTGACCCGGGCCCGGCCCACCCTCCCAGCCCCCTGTCCGCTCCTGCAGGCTGCGCCCACAGGCGGCTGTGCCCTGAACCCTCAGTCACATCCAGGGCTTTGGGGGCCCCAATCTGGGAAGCAATGCCAAGGGCCCCGAGATCGCTCCCAGGGATGCCAGCCGGACCCCCACCCGCAGGAGACGGCAGGGCCCATGTCCCAGGGCTGCGGCAGCAGGTCAGTCCTCCCACTCCCCTGACTGTCCCTGCAGGCATCTCAGCCATCTGGGCTAAGGCTCAGAGGCAGTCACACAGCCCAGAGGAACGCAGCCGCCGCCTCCAAGCTGTCCCCCGTCCTCCAGGTCTGACTGGCACAGAATGGGGGCGGGGGGAGAATCTTGCTCCAGCCTCCCCGGGACTGCACGGGGGTAGGTGGGGATGGGGGGGCAGAAGCGTCACCAGCAGTGGCCTGGGGCGTGGCTGGTCTGGAGCGTCCTGGTCAGCGAGGAGGGGGTGGACGCCTAGGAAGGAAGGAAAGGAGGAGAAGCGTGTCACGGGGAGCCCTGTTGGGGAAGCATCGGCTCCAGGGTGGGCGGGAGTCCCAGGCTGTCTCCCCCGAGCACTCATGGAGGGACCCCTGAGCACTGATCTGGAAGTCAAGACTGGGTGTGGCCCCCCTCAAAAAAAAATCCAGGAGCTGGAGCGATAGCACAGCGGGGAGGGCATTTGCCTTGCACGTGGCCGACCCGGGTTTGATTCCCAGCATCCCATAGGGTCCCCTGAGCACCGCCAGGAGTAATTCCTGAATGCAGAGCCAGGAGTAACTCCTGTGCATCGCCGGGTGTGACCCAAAAAGAAAAAAACAAGCAAACAAAAAAAATCTAAATACAAGAGGGTCAGATGAGAGCTAGTAAGAGCGCACAGCTGAACAGCTGAACGCCATTCCATCCCAGCACCACTGACAGCCTGGTTGGGAGTCACAGCTGACCACAGGGCCAGGGAAGACACAGCCGGTGTGACCCCCAGCAAAAAAGGATCAGCGGTTCAGTGAGAGACAGGAGAGAAGGTGTTTGCCTTGCATGTGGCAAACCTGGTGGGATCGCTGACACAGGTACCAACTGATGGTCCCCCAAACACCATCAGGAGTGAGTCCTGAGCACAGAGCCAGGACTCATCCCCAAGCTCAGAGCCAGGAGTCAGCCCTGAGCACTGAGCCAAGAGTGAGCCCTGAGTACAGAGCCAGGAGTCAGCCCTGAGCACAGAGCCAGGAGTCAGCCCTGAGCACAGAGCCAGGAGTCAGCCCCGAGCCCAGAGCCAAGACTAAGCCCTGAGCACAGAGCCAGTAGTCAGCCCTGAGCATAGAGCCAGGAATCAGCCCCGAGCACAGAGCCAGGAGTCAGCCCCGAGCCCAGAGCCAAGACTAAGCCCCGAGCACAGAGCCAGGAGTAAGCCCCGAGCTCAGAACCAGGACTGAGCCCTGATCACAGGGCCAGGAGTAAACCCTGAGTACCACAGGGTATGGCCCCCCAAAACAAACCCCCCCCTCAAAAAAATTTTGTGTCTGAGCAAGGCACACACTACCTACTATGCAGTCGTGCCAACCAAGGATGACGATCACTCGCTGCAGTCCAGGACCCAGACCTGAGTTCATGGTTTCCAGCCTCCTTCCTCTCCCTGCTGACCCTCCGAATGTTCTACATTTCCCGAAGCAAACAAGTGCTCACCCAAACCAGTGCTCAGACCTTCCCAACGCAGACAAGCAAGCTACAGACCAATGACATCGGGTCCCCCTGGGGCTGATGACACGGGACCACAGGGCCTGTCTTCATCTGTACCACACTCCCCTCAGACGCCAGGGGCAGAGCCTGGGACTGCCTTGGAGTAATCAAAAACCCAAACCAAGACACCAGAGAAGCTGCTATCGTCACTGCAAAGAAAGAGAAGCTGGGGGCTGGAGCAATAGCACAGCGGGTAGGGCATTTGCCTTGCATGTGGCCAATCCGGGTTCGATTCCCAGCATCCTGTATGGTCCCCTGAGCACTGCCAGGAGTAAGGAGTAATTCCCGAGTGCATGAGCCAGGAGTAAACCCTGTGCATCACGGGGTGTGACCCCCCAAAAAAAGAAAGAAAGAGAAACAGAGAGCAGGACAGAGTGGGTGCTGGCCAGCTACTGGCAATGGTGACGGCAATTTCTATCCTGACATTAACCAAATATGCTATATATATATATATATATATATATATATATATGGTAAAGGTAAAGGCCCTCCCGTTGATCGTCGATTTGCTCGAGCGGGCCCAGTAACGTCTCCATTGGAGACTTTGTTGTTACTGTGTCTGGCATATCGAATACTCTCGGTAGCTTGCCGGGCTCTCCGAGAGGGGCGGAGGAATCGAACTCGGGTCGGCCATGTTGGCCGCTTGTAAGGCGAACGCCCTACCGCTGTGCTATCGCTCCAATATATATATATATATATATATATATATATATATATAGTTTTGCAGTCATACTTGCGGTGCTCAGGGCTGACTCTGGGCTCTGCACTCAGGGATCACTTCTGATGGTACGCGAGGATTCCTGTGGGATGCTGGGGACTGAACCCAGGCTATCTGCATGCAAGGCAAGTGTGCTCTCTCTCTCTCCAGTCTTCCAAGTGGACAAAATTATTACAAGAAAACCAAGGCAGGGG